TTTGAAAAAACGTTGGAATCCCAGAATGGGGAGGGGCACTCGCTCTAACATCTAGTTCCTCAAAGAGGAATAATTCCTAGGGAGAAGGCAAAGCGTTCTGTGGAATCCTTGTTTCATTCCCACAACTCTCCCTGTTGGCCCAGTCTCCCCACTAGAGAAGAGAAGCACATGAGATTAATGAAACCCATGATCCCTGGAATGGGGGTGGGGAGTGGAGACTGGGGTAGGGGGGTGTCTTTATCCAAGCTCACTGAGGGGGTGGCCTGTTAAGTGAGGTTTCACATCTCTGGCCACGATATCTGATATTTGTCCTGCTTAAGAGACCTCAAACCCCATGGCTTCAGAACACAGGAGAGAAAATGACTTTCAGTAGGAAAAGGAGGCTCTAAGCCCCAAACACGATGTCCTGGGAGATGCCCTTAGCAGGAATCTGAAAAGAAACTACACTGAGCTTGACACCCCAGTGTCAGAGTCCACAGATACCGCTGGACAACCACCCACTGCCTGGAAAGAGAAAGAGGAAACCTGCAAGTCCAGCTAGACAGAGGTCTCGACAGGGGCTAATCCTGCCCCCAGGGGACCCTGGGCCATGTCTGGGCACATCTGTGGTTGTCATGACTGGAGGCGCTCCTGGCATGGCATGGGTGGGGGCCAGAGATGCTGCACAATCCCCCACAGTGCCCAGGACAGCCCCAAATGTCCACTGTGGTGAGGAAGGACCCTAGATTGGACCAACAAGCCAGAGTCTGAGAGACTAGGGACACTCGCGAAGGCATAGTCCCACACACAGTGCTCTTGTATATCTTTTGCCATGTTATGTTAAGACAGCTCCAAGAAAGGGCGTCCCTTTTATAGACAGAAAAGCTCAGGTAGTCCAAAGATCGCAGGCCGTGAAGGAGGCAGGCCCTGAGTGCCCTGAGGTGGGGACACACAGGACACCCCTACCACAGGGAGGCTGGGCAGTACAGGCAGCCATGCATTTTCTTCCCGTGCACAGATGGGTAATGAGGGTGAATGTCAGTCAAGTGGCTCAGAAAGGAAACCATCTAGAAGAGAAACACCGTCTCAACTAGACAATGGACAGAGCCGGTCAGTGTTCTGTGTTTGTGCTGCAGTGGGAGGGTGGAGAGAGAACACACCCCAGGCAGCCTTCAGCTGCAAATGGGACCCAAAGGAGCTCCCTCGGAGGGCCTCTGGTGACAGGCTGTAAGCTCTCTTCTCCAGGCCTTTATGGCAGGAGGAACCTAGGAGCCTCTCTGCCCTGCAGTCAGGAGGTAGGGTGGGTGATGCTCAGCAGGTGGCAGCTGTGGCATCAGCATTTGTATGTCCTGCTGAATGGCCACAACTACTGGCATCCTCTCAGACCCATCCGGAGCCTCCCAAGGCAGTGGTTTTGGCTCTGGGAGTGCAGGAGGTGACTGTTCAGCCCTAAGTGGCTGAAGCCAGAACTGGCAGGAAAGGCCCACACCAAGTGGCAAATATTTTCAGCTTTGCAGGCCAGCCTCTGTTGCAACTACTCAACTCCACCGTTGCAGGCAAAAGCAGCCACAGACAACAGGTCAACACCCGAGCGAGGGTGGGCACCCATAAAACTTTATTTATGAAGGTGAACTTTCAGTTTCATCTAATTGCATGTCGCATATTCTTTTGATTCCCCTCTACTCTTTAAAAATGTAAAAATCATTCTCAGTTTGCGGCCCATACAAAAGTAGTCAGTCTACCAATTTGCAACCTCTGCTCTGGAAAGAGATACCTGAAACTCATACAGACTGAGTAGGTGTGAGAGTCTGGCTTTTAATGTGTTGGCACAAGGCAGAATGACAGAAAAGGGACAATAGAGGGCAGGAGCTTGAAGAAGGTAACAAACCAACAAGTAAAACAGTCCCTAAAATCTGGGAAGCGGAAATTCTCCCCTGGGCTATGTTCTGATGAAGATGCTAGAAGGAACTGGCCCAAAACACAGATGGAGTGGGGCAGCTCAGGCTGGCTTTCAGGAAAAGGAGTTGTGGGATCCTCCCCGCTCCCTAAAATCTGGCTGAGGACCCGCAGGTCCCTGTGCGCCATCTGACCTGAATGATTGCCCTGTCTCTCCCTGGTCCTGCCTCTGACATGCCTTAGCTTTTTATCAGTAAGGCCAAGCACTTCGGTGGACTCTGCAGCCTCGACTAGTTATGGGGGCAGCAGAGCTTACAAGAGTCAGGAACTGTCACCCCAAAGACTGTGGGGTGGCATCCAGGACTGCCATGCACAGATGCCCAGTGGCCAATGGTCATTTCCTGGCTGAACCCCTTGCCTTCCTGCCTCAGGGGCCTGGGAAGCTCGGCCAGCTCTTCGGGGGAGCCCCGCGTGGCTCCTGCACGCTCACCTTGAACTCCGGCTTGCTCTGAGCACCAAGTGCCACTTGTTCAGTAATTTCACGCTACGCCGCCTGGCAATGTAAGCGTGGAGGCCCAATCTAAGGCTGTACTTCCCAAATGTCGCTTGTGAACACATGGCTGAACCTAAAGTAGCAATTAATATCTAGGCAGTCCCCGGCCCCGCTCAGTTTCGGCTCTGACAGCCTCTCCAGGAAAAGCCTGGCCCCAGGTTCTTGGCTCCACCGCAGCTCCCACTGTGGCAGGAGGTCACGGCACACACAGGTCGTGAGGATTCTCTCCTCCTTGAGTCTTACCATGTAATGCAAACAACCAAGCCACACACCCCGGATATTTACTCCTTTAGATCAAACAGGCAAATCCTGACGATTAGATGTCTCCTCTTTTAGTGACACCCAGAGTCCCCACCTGTGACAATCCCATCATGATTTTCTGACTTAAGTATAAAAAGCCCGATGCTTCCAAATCCTGGGAGCACCTCCCCCATCTTCCTTACTACAAAGCCCATTTCCTTTTCTAAACTGCACTGCAATAGTAAAGCTAGAGAAATAGATAATTAGAAAAATAAAGGCTAGCCCATTTGTTTAGAACAGCACTGCCCAATAGAAATAGAACACAAGCCACCTTTGTAACCTCAATGTTTCTGTCGCCACATTCAAAAAGTGAAAAGAAACAGGTGACATTCACTTTAATGAAATATTTTGTATAACCTGACTAAGCTATGCAAAATTATCAGTCTACATAACCAATATAAACAGATTTTTGGTGAGATATTTCCTGTTCTTTGTTAGACACTGTACATGTGTTACACACACAGCTCATCTCCATGAAAATGGGCCACATCTCAAGGCCGCCACACCTGCGTGTGGCCACTGACCATGGTCTGAACATCACTGCTTAGAGCCAGCGGTTCTCAACCTGTGGGTCACAAACAATGAAAATACATCCTGCATATTAGATATTTACATTACGATTCATAACAGTAGCAAAATTACAGCTATGAAGTAGCAACAAAAATAATTTTATGGTTGGGGGTCACCACAACATGAGGAACTGTATTAAAGGGTCGCGGCATTAGGAAGGTTGAGAACCACTGGTAGACCCTCTTTGCAAAGGTCTGAGGTCTAGAAAATGCTACATGAGTCAGGGTATAGGGCCCAGGTACACTTCCTCCACACTGACTCCACCATTTGTCCTGACCCTGGGCCTTGACTGGGAACAACTAAGCGATTGTGCAGAGAAACCCCAGGCTCCAATGTGGACGGCTGGCAGGAAATGCTCCGTTCATCCTGTATGAGGCTAGCTGAAGGAGCTTCTGTTCCATGTGCCCCAGCACCAGTGCAAGATGCCCACAAGTGGCTGGACCTGCTTTTGCCATGGAGAGAGAGGGCCATCGGGCTAAAACCCATGAGCTGGGGAAGATCGACCAGAGTCCAGCCTGATGGGAGAAGCCTGCCTGCCGTCTTCCTCTGTGGCAGACGGGACAGGCATTAAGGGCTGCAGTAACAGTCCTGGGAGGAAGGCCCCTGGTACTGGCAGCTGGGAAAGGGCTGGGCCTGCTGCTGGCCCAACAGTCCTCCTTCCTGCTTCTCCCTCCAAGATTCCACCATCCCCCAGCTGACTGGGTAGGCCTGCAGTTCATTAGCCCGGTGTGCATCCTGTCACCTGGATCTCCAAAGCCACTTTAAGCCTCCACAGGAGACAAGCAAGAGGAAGGAGATGAGGCAGGCATGACCCAGTCTCACAGCCAGCAACTCCATGGACTTGCCATAGCACCCTCCATGCTGTCAATCAAAACCACAAAGACAGACGCACTCAGAGCTCAGGGAATCCGAGAACAAGCACTCAGTTTAGATGTCACATCTTTTGGCCAATAATCCGCGCTTGGAGACCAAGAATGGCAAATTACTGGGGGGGAATCAAAGGAGTCTCCTCACCTTTCAGGATCCTCCAGGGGCAGCAATGCAGCAGGCAGCCCTCAGGCCCAGAGAGTGTGGGGTCTGCCAGGAGATGGGGGCCCCTGACCCTAGGCCTGCCCAGGCCCTATTTGCCGCATGTCCACCCATCCCACTCATGCCTTGTCCCCATTCCTCCAGGTGACAAATGTTCTGGGAACAAGTTTACTATGATCTCAGAAACAGACCTTGATGGAAAATTTAGGCTCCAAGCCAGCGGGTGTATAGACCTAGGCCCAAGAGAGGTGGCTGGAAGGGACTGGGCCCCTTATTAGTCTTTCACGGCATCTGAGGACACTTACCTGAGTGGCCACCTTGCCGTAATCAATCCATCGCAAGGTAGCAAAATTGGTCGACTCGGCACAATTGAATCCGTGGTTGAAGCCAGCATGGTAGCCGTAAGGAAAGGTGATCATGAACTCCCCAGCTTCCTGCGTGATCTGAGGAAAAAGTCCAACAGGTGAGGGGAGGCTGACAGGTGAGCGTGAGGAACAGAATTAGAAGGAAGAGGATTTCATGCATGGCTCACCTGCCAGAAGCAACGCCTGGCCTAGAGCAGGGACAGGCTGGTGGCAAAGGCCACCGGGAGCCACCAAGGAGCACAGAAGGAGGATGTGGGCTCAAGGAGTTCCCAACAAGTGCCAGAGAGCCTGACTCTGGGTGTCAATGGAATCTACCAAGTGAAAGGTGGCTCTACCTAATTTCACAGGCTCCAGCCAATTTCCCATGGGGCTGATAAAGTAGGGATGACGGTGGCCAGGTCAACGGCTCACTACCAGCCCCTGCTCACCATAGCCCAGCTGAAGCTCCAAGTTGACAGACACAGTTAGCATTCCGCAGAGGGGTGAACTGCAGAAACAGAGGGACTGCTAGATGCTACCATTCTAAGCACTTCTCCCTTTTGTTGAGGAGGGGGTCTCCAGTTTTGGAGGGAGGTGGCCATGTCACACCTCCTGTCCACTGTGAGATGTTCTCATACATCAGGGCAGGCGGCGCTGATGGCAGCTGCAGAACCTCTGAGCACAGGACAGGCGTACACGCGGTACATTGTCCTTGCCCTAAAATAACCTAAGTCCCCTCGCCATCATAAGCACAGAATCTGTCCTTTTTATTCCAAGAGGTGGGTCCTTCTAGATGATGTCAAAGAGACCAAAGAAACACATCAGCATGTGGAAGAAAACAATGTCAAGGTCAGAGCTCTGAAGAGAGAGCTGATGTTTCTCCATCTATTCAAATAGTCTGGACAACCAGACACTGAAACAGAGACTCTAAAACTAGGAGCTGGGCATGATTGACAGGATGGGGCGCACAATGCCTCAGACTGATGCTTCTGAAACCACCATCTGAAAGCCCGATGGAAAATGGGGGCGGGGGCGCTGCAGCCTCATCCCCCCCATCCAGGGAGGGGACACTTTCCATGACCACACTGACCACTCTCCAGGACTCGTGAAGTGGGGCTGCTGGCCTAATCCATAGTTGTGAAACTGAGGCTGGTGGCCTGGGAGAAACTGTCTCTGAAGTTGGGCCTATCTATTCCTTGATTTGTACAGTCAGTAGAAGGCACAGACCACAGGTTGGGCAGAGTCTGAATAACCACCACCCCAGACAGAAAGAGATCATTTCTGGTACCGTGGGAACTGAAGGACCCCAGTACATTCGCACCAGTGTGCTTTCTGCCACCACGGATTATGTTTCTCTCTAGGATTTCATGGAATCAGACGGTCTGTACTCCTGCGTCTGGCTCTTTGCTCTTCGAGAGTCATTCAGTGCGTGTGCACATGAGTCTTCCAAAGGGAATTCTATCATGAGATGTGTCACTATTACCCATTCTCCTGTGTACAGACTTTGGGACTCTGGTGAATAGAGTTGCTGGGCCAGTCTCCTTGCAGCACGTGTTTGCATTTCTTTTGAATAAACAGACACAGAGTGCAGGGGGCGGGGGGTGGGGGGGTGTTTCAGGGTCTCAAGTCAGGTGCATGGCCACATCTCCAAGAAACTGCTGACTGTTTTTCTACAGTGGCTGCCCATTTGCACCCCCAATGGTGGTGAGTGAGAGTTCCTTGTGCTCCCCTCCCAGCATTTGGGCATGTGCAGTGGGATCTCCTTGGCTTTGGTCATCTTTCTCCGAAATCCACAGAATGTCACACCATGTCGGTTTGTGCAAACTTCTGCAAAGTCTGTTCAAGCCTTTCTTTCACCCCTCTCTATTTATCTCATGGTTCATCTTTTTATTGTTGATTTGTCGGCGTTCTCAGGCCTGCTGATCTTTACTTATTCCCCCAGAGAGATGAGTAGAAATCACTGGATTTGTTTAAGTACCAGTGAGACATCAAACCCTGGTGTGGGGAGAATGGGCAGCAGGAAGGGGGGGTGAGACTTCCCACAGAGTCAAAAATCAATCAAAACTGACACAGCCTGGAGCAAAGCCAGCCCTTCAGAACACTGAGATATTTTTCTTTTCAAATAATGAATTGCACCAATCAAGGAAAGTCAGTGTGCATTAAGTTATATTTTTAAATTCCTGTCCAAGTGACAGCCGAGAGCAGGGAATGAAGCATGGAGCAGGAGATGGGAGGAGAGAACACTCACGGGTCCCCAAGGTCCTAGCTACCCCATCCACAGCAAGGGTTCTCTGGGCTGCTTCTGCAGCAGGATTTAGAGCTTTGATTTTTTAAAAATGCAATTACTAATTTTCTTATTTTATTTACGCTGACCCTGGAAAGTGCTATCGCACTTTTCTTCCACCGCCAACTTGCACACTCCCCTTCTCTCCACCAGGGCATGGCACCCTGTGGTGGGAGCACAGAGCCTTCTGGGGGCTTAGCAGGGTCCTGGGGATGCTAAGCTCAACACCTCAGGTGTGGGGGAGGCACCTCCACTCCAGGCTCGGGCGGACTTTGGGGCCTGATCCCCACCATGAATCAGGGCCTAGAACAGAAGAGGCACTCAGGACGACAAGAAGATTATGTTCCTGTCAGAAATCTATGTCCCAGTGGCTTCATTTCAAGCCCACAGTGTCTGTCCTCTGTGTCACCGGCGTCAACATGATCCCGACAGTAAGTTAGAAGGCACTGGGGATGATGGACAGGCAGGGTGGCAAAGTAATAAGCAGTGCCAGCCCCAAACGCCAGTCATGGGGAAAGCCCGGAATTTGGTTTCTTGTGCAAGCTGGCACAGAATAAATGAGGATGTCAATGACAGATTCCAGAAACACACACTTTTAATTATTAAAAAGCTTGCTATTGATCTGTGCTTTCTTCTAGAGGTAAATACCATTACAGAGATTTATAAGTGGAGTGTGGGAGTCACTCCTTTGAAGGCCACCAGGAACTCAGATCAGGGATTCACATCGTACCCGGACGGGCATCCATCAGAGCCCAGAGACAAGGGTCCTCACCCTGCTGGCCTCAGAGGGAAAAAGGAGTCCTGCCAGCCAACTTCTGCATCCCTGACCAGGAAGCACCACTTTGGAGAATGTTCTTAACAAACCACAGGGGAGCAAGTACTTCTCACTTCCATGAGTGATGCTGTGATCTGTTCATGAGGTTCCTGGTAACAAAGGGTGTTCTGACCGAACACAGAGAGAAGAGAAAAATGCGAACCTGCACTTCTCAAAGCAAAAATCCTGCAACCTGATGAACCTAATGAAGCAGTGGCTGGAAGTCGCTTCCTGGTTGTGGCCCCAACAGGAAGAATGAAGCCCAGATCCGAGCACTAATGCTGCCGGCAGTTAGATTGAAATATCAGAAGCAATTTCCCACTGGCTGACACTCAGGTGAGAGTGAGGCATGAGGGTCTGATCACAGAACTTGCCACCATACTTGACAAATCACTCCTCTGGTGAAACCTTCAGAACCCAGGCTCCCACAGGGTCCTCCTCCCCTGGCTTGCCCTTGTTCTAGAACCTTCTTAAGGGTTAAAAAGCCAGTTTCCTGGGTTGTTTGTGATCACCTGGGCCAGAAGCCCCTCCTGGAGCAGCCCCTACCTACCCGGCTGAATGGGATCCCGTACTTCTTGAGGATGATGGGTGAGATGAGGGTCATCTTGTGCCGAAGGAAGGCGTCACAGCCCTGGGAGCTCCCGGGGAAGAACCCTGGAGTGAAAAAGACGGGCATCAGTTTAAAGACCAGGGTGGGGGCTGAGCCAGGACAACTCTTTCTGGGCAGCTCTTTCCTCCTGTCAGAGCACAGAGCAGGGTGCCTGCAGCACCAAGGGTATCAACCACATGGACCATCACACACCCATGAGCTCTGCTGGTGACCACAATGGTGACACTCCCTGGCCTTCATTTAGTGAACCTGGAACAGAGGGCAAGCCGGGGCTGTCTGTGTGACAGGGCGCACACCCACAGCACACCTGTCATAGATGGGGCACAGGGCATGGCATGGCTACACAGACACTTCCCCTCCAAACCCCTCCAAAGACCAACTGCGTTGCATCCGCATGGTCATTCAGACACGTGAGAACACAGCCCAAAAGAAAGGACACAGAAGCTGATGTTCTAGAACCAGACAAGCTGTGATAAGTGAGAAGTGAGTGATGCTCTCCACACACATACCATGACCAAATCTGCAATAAAGAGTGGCCCAGGCTCTGCTCCTGGCTCTTTGTGCACACAGACACCGGGCAGGTAAGGAGACAAAGGCTTGGGCCATCAACTAACCCGCCCAAGGCCTATAGTCCTGTGGGGAAATGGCAGAGCAGCCCGATCCTGGCTGCGTCCACAACATAGGTCCCTAACCCTGTTACAAAGTTTGCATTTGGGCACTATTTTTGTCCAAGACTATATATACTAGAGGCCCGGTGCACAAAAATTTGTGCACTCGGGGGGGTCCCTCAGCCTGGCCTGTGCCCTCTTGCAGTCTGGGACCCCTC